CCTTTAACTAATCAAAATCATGAAATTTTGGTTGACCCAAATCAGTCTAAAAATCAAAACAAGTGATTAAACTCAATTATTTCAAAATGAGATATATTCAAGTTTCCACTCTTTCTACTGCAAAGGCTCCAAATGGTTATATTATGTTAACTTATGTTAGATAATATTTCTTCATGCAACTCTTACATTCTATGAATGCCCAATCTTTCTACTTATTTGCCTAAATACTACTAACCTGTATCTTAAACCAAGCTCTGCTATTGCTACTAGTTTGTCACTCTAGAATTTAATATTTTTTTTCTAATATAGTGCTATTGACTAATCTATTTGTACTTCTTTATATGATGTTATCAAAACTGTATTTCATTGTGCTGCTTTAATGATCTATTTTGTTAAAGACCAGCCTAATATTATAAAATTCTTTAAATAGCAAGCAGTACTACTTTCAACCATAGGGTTTGTATCATATTACTAGAAGAAAAACTCTAATTCACTTTGACTTCCAACTTGAACTTCTGTCTATTAGTTGATATTACATTATTGTTAATATATTCTAATTTCTTTCATTATTAACTTCTATATAGATATGATCAAAGCTCTGATTTAATACCTTTAGATATACTAGGTTAGCTAGCCTACTTTTATAAAATTACCTTCTTTAGCTAGTTATTTCATAGCGCTAGCGGTGCTTCTAATTCTGATAAGACCAATTCTTTGACATAGCTCTTTTATATATTTATACTTTTCTTATCATTTCAGTTTTAGTAGTATTATATTAAAAAATTCGATCGCTCTGAAGTTATTGTTTCGAAGATATAACAGCTTGAAGTTTAATATCAAATTATAAATAAAGCTTTATATACAGTATTAAAGTTTATATTAAATATTATAGTTTTAAATCGAAATATACTGTACATGTGTGCCTAAATTATTTTTGAAAAAAAATATTTTCGGCAAACGTTTCGGCATTGCTAGATTTTTTATGCGAAACCCTCCGAAAGAACTATTATATGATGTATTTTGATGAAAAGAGTTCAAAAAATTTCGGCAATAATTTCGGCAAATATGAAAATTAATTTCGGCACTATAGGTCTAATTACGGCTGCCTAAATGCCGTAATTTTTTTATTATGGGCAATTTAGGCGCACATTATTGTAAATAAAGTTTGCTAAAATATCGTTATAAATAAAGTTGTATATTAAATATCGTTGCAAATAAGTATATTATTTAAAAAAAATAATAAAAATTGTATTTTACTCAAGTATTATTTTTAATAAAAATTGAATTAAAATTCAAATCTAGATGTTATGATTTATACGTCGCGTATAATAGTAATGATAATAAATAGGTTTATAATTTTTACTATAACGCTTGTATTATGTATCAAATAAATTTTTTGGCTGCAAGTTTTCGATAATTTAGACCATACATCAAAGTTTAATATCGAATATGTTTTCTATTCTACAAACACTACACTATGCACTACAGCTGGTGATAGCGTGATTTAAATAATAATGTTATAAAACTGATTTTTATTGCTATTTCAATATATTTAAATGCGTACAAGGTTAGTGACGTAGTAATTATCCAAACTAAATTACATTTTTGGAGAGGTAAATAACTATTTATTAAATTTTTTAGTAATAAACATTATTTATAACAAAACTATTATAATCTAATAATGAAGCTTTGCATACAGACTTTGCTTGAACAAAATGATCATAAGTAATCTATTATAAAATATAATAATGTAAATAATAAAGACTTGGAATAATTTATTGTAAAAAACTAACGAACTTACTCTTTCATTGTAAACATTTTCTCTGATGCTAATTAATGCTGCTTCTCTACACAGATTATCTAAATCGGCACCTTAATTTAAACCAAGATAATGATTAGACAAAATTTAGTACGAAAGATACAAAATTAAGCTAATACCTGAAAATCCTTCAGTATCTTGAACTAGATACGGTATTTGATCATTCGTTATAGTTGTTGGCATTTTTCGTAATTTGCCTTTTAATATAGAACTACGTTGCTAAATAAAACAATACTGTGTGACTACGATGATCAAGACTGTATATAAATGTTGTGCCTCAGACTAACGCTTGCCTCAGATCACAGCTGACGTACCTCAGATGCAGGTCGTTAGGTGAGGTGCGTAACCTATCGATTATCATCTAAGCTGCAATCTAACGAACATAAGAGAGTAAAATAAATTGAATAAAAGACCTTTTACTTGAATTCTTTTTATTCTTGGATTTACTCGGCGTTTTTCTCACTGGTAGCATTTTTAAATCACTTTGGCGTCTTTCTTAACTCCAGCAGCATTCTATATCTTTGAATCACTTTGGCGTCGTATTACTTCCAATAGCATTCTTGAATCTCTGGTATTTTACCACCAATACTAGCATTCTTTTTTTACATTAAGTCTCTTCAGTATCTCCGTTCTTTTCTTTGTTTGAATTTTCACGGCACATTCTATTTCCAATTAATACGTACTTCCCTCCCTATACATGGTTTTTTTTTTTTTTGCCTAAATTTTCGCGGCATATTCTTCCCGTCTAGGTTTTTCAGCAATTTTCAATAATTTCTATACATATAAATTTTTTTTTTTGTGCTTATTGACCGATCGATAGGTTATGCACCTCACCTGACGATCTGCATCTGAGGTGCGTCAGCCGTGATCTGAGGCAAGCGTTAGTCTGAGGCACAATATAAACAAACAAAAAAAATATAAACCTCAAAATTCGGAGGTGGGATATAAATATGTTGATCCAATCTGCAAGGTCTTAAAAGTGCTGAATCTATAATTTCAGGTCTATTTGTTGCTAAAATTTAGTAAACCATATTATAAATTGCTCCGTACAAATTATTTGGTGATTAAATGAAACGTTTCCAATTAATTGGTTTAAAATCTTACCTGCAATAACTAAAACATCAACCTCAGGCCCTTCCCTACTTCTTGATGTAAAAATGCCATCCATTTCTAAATATATATATGTATGTAGCAATTTCAAATAACCATATTGAATAATAACGTAATTCTCGGCAAATAGTACCCGGTATGATGTAATTAAAAAAATTAAAGTCACGATATACATATAACTAGTATTTTAAAAAATTAGTCTACACTATTGTTACACCGGGTACTGTACTATAGCTAAGTAAGTACCTGTCAAAAAACTTGTAACAATACGATCCTCTGTATTTTCAGATGTTGTATTGGTACCTCTAATTGATGCCAAAATATCGATCTAATCACATAACATTTTTGAATATATATCACATCAAACATAAACAATAATTATAAAAGTATTTACCTGATCAATGAATAAAACGCAAGGAGAATTGGCTTTTGCTTGGGCAAACATCTTCGAAATATTATTTTCTGATTCACCAACAATTTTTGATCTGACATGTGAACTCTAAAATATTAATTACGTATATAAAAAAAAAACTTAAGACAAAATGTATTTCAAATATAAATTATAAAATTGATATTATTGCTGTATTAAAATTTAACAAACCTCAACCAACATGAAATTTATTCCAGTTTCTGCAGCTATAGCACAACTAAGCATTGTCTTTCCAACACCCGGTGGACCGTAAATTAGAATTCCACGTGGTGGTGAAATTCCAAATTTGATATACTCTTGCGGATTATGGAATGGTTCAATTACGGTCAACTAATAAAGAGAACAAAAAAAATCAAAAGCGTATGGTATAAACAACTAAGATGCAAACATAAAAGAAATTTCTTACTTTGAGATCTTCAATAATTTCATCAATACCAAATATATCGGAAAATCGTATTTCTGGAATCTAGTTATTTTAAAATATTGAAAGATATTAGTCGATTTTGAGAAAAATAATTTATTTTTATTTAATCAATCAAATACCTTTGTCTGAAATTCATTTAAACTCGAAGGCTTAATAAATTTAAGAGTTTTTTCAAAATGCTGTAGCCTAACAAGCGTGTGTGAATTATCTGGATCCTTAAAAAAGGATGGCAGAAAAATATTTAATAACCAATATTGATAATAAATTGAGCTCAAAGTTTTGCAATGTTATATACCTCATTTGAACCACTATTATTATGTTTATTATGCTCCCTAACCAGCTGCGTTGCAACTTGTATGCAAAGATATTGTAAATCGGTAGCAACAAATCCATGTGTTACTCTACTGACTTTTTGCAATATTAAATCCTTTTGCTCCTCAACAAATGGAAGTTCTATTATGCAATAGAAAAAAAATATATATACCAGGTTTTTTGAGACAAAGAATTAAACTACCTTACACATACTCTCTGCCATTATTTTTAAAATTCCAAATCTTTGATCCGGCTTTTTAATAACGAGTTCGTAGATACGATCGAGTCTTCCAGGGCGATAAAGATTGCTGTTAATCGCATGATGACGATTAGTCAACCCTAATTAAAAAAAAATTGTTTAGATGTTACAACCATTAGATTTAAAAAAAATGCTAATAGTAATAGTACTAACCAATAATAAATATTTGACCTTTGTATGGATTTTCCCAGACATTTTCATTGATTGAGTCAATCAACTTTATAAGTATTGAAAATAGCTTTGCTTCTACTCCTTTATAATTTCGATTTCATAAACAAAAGAAATTCACGGATAACATTTAAAATTGAAATCCAGAATTCAAACCTGCACGAGTACTTGCAAAAGTATCGGCAATAATATCGATCTCATCCAATATGACAATGGAAACTCTGTGACGTAACATTGATTCAAATATTAAACAAAGTTCTTTCTCTGCATCACCCTCATCTGGTTTCATAAAAATAAGAATGAACACTAACGTATCAAAAGATAAATTGCAATTAAAAATAACTTTGTAGATACCGGTTTTGAACATATCTGGGCAATTTATTACTACATATGGTAACCTTGATGTTTCTTTTAGAGACGAAAAAATTCAGTGATTCAGTAGAACTGAAATATTAAAATAATCATCCAAGTATAGTGTTCAACAGTATTCAACCATACCAGCTATACACAAGGCAAGTGATGTTTTGCCTGTTCCAGATTTGCCTACCAACAATATACCTTTACTTCTTTTCACACCTTTTCTAAATTTTCCACGCAGTGCAGTCACAATAAAAGTATGAATTTGTTCAATAATTTCTAAAATAATATCATCTAAACCTCCAATTTGTTTAAATATCCTCTCCAACCATTTAGATTTATCCTGAAGCTTTGGTTCATAAAATACAGGTTGGTAAATCTTTTGTAGACCATCCATTTGACATCTTACAAATAACACGTTCGGATCATTAGTAATTTTAATCTTTGTTGATTCAGAAATTTTTGAAACATGTTCCTCTGGTTCAATTGATGATGCGATTGTATTTTTGATTGTTAAAACTGATAATTTCGTATCATCATCGTTTATAAAAGTTTTCAAAACTTTTAAAAATTGCATCCCATTACATCCTTGATAACAAATCCAAGTATTAGTTGAAACAATAGATCCTAAATGAACTCTTCTAATAAGGTTTTCATCGATTTGGTTATTCACTGAATTATTATCATGATGAATATTTGCAAAATTGTTGGTTATACCGAATAAAATGACACAAGTTGCAATTGGAATGTTATTGACCTGTCCAGACAAAAATATATATGTAAATTAGAAAACAAAAATTATGAAGCGGCAAGATAGTACAGAATAGAGGTGCAGGCGAATCGTCCCAATGATGCCGTAACTTTGCCGTGACGTGCCGTAACTATATTAAATAATTATAAAAAGTTACGGCAAACATGCCGTAACTGTTTATAATTATTTAATATAGTTACGGCACGTTACGGTAAAGTTACGACATCATTGGGACGATTCGCCTGCATCTCTAGTACAGAAATAAGTATACATACCACTTCAATAAGATTTAATTGTATAGGAAAATCTAAATTATCCATTTTGCCAAATAAGGAACAAATACCTAGATTACAAGCTAGTAATCTTGAAATAACAGCTTGCGATTCATCTTTATCAAATTCATTTTTTATATTCGAAATATTAGAATTTTGTGATAGGTCCAGTAATTGAAAATCCAATTTATCGGGGAATGAAGGATTATCACGAAATAAAACAGAATATTTTGAATATAATTTTACTGAAGCAAAAATTTTTGTACAATTTTGATCAGATGATTGACTTTGACTTTGATTGTAAGAACGGAGAGACAAAACTTGGTTTGGACGTATATTATTTTTAAGGCACCATGTTCGTGGAAGCCACATACATGGCTTTGGCGTTCGTGTGTAGTCTGAAACAACAATGATTATAATTTAATCTTATCAAATTATAAACTGTAATTATATACATTTTATGCTTACAAGACTGTAAATCGTCTACTATTGAAACAACGTTTATTATAGTTGGCATCTTAAATTCGATGTTGCGATGTCAGCATAGCATTTACTAATTTCCCTCATGTTTCTATTGGCTATCGGTAAATCGCATTTCTGATGATGATCCCCTATAACGTGATATTGTCGATTAACGAAATTCAGCAGGGACACGGAAATATTATTTCGATTAAAAGTAAAAATCTCAACTGTCCTAGCGTTACCAACCTAAAAAATTTCGCACGACCAATCAAAATTTATCGATCATCCAAAATTTTTAAAATTTTTTAAACTCCTAGCAAAGATATATCA